CTAAGAGAATGGCATCGGCTGGAAAGTGGTGAAAAAGTTATGATTTTGAGAGTACTGGCAGGAGTTTAAGGTGATTGGGAAAAGCTATGGCAAGTTTTGCAAAACTAAATGGTGTTTTTCCAGTCACAAGGATTTCTTCAGAAGTATGAAGAGAACGGTATACATGAGAGCTGCAGTGTAAAAGCCTCTCAAAAGGGGGAGTCCTTAAAAGGCTAACGGGTCCTAAAGACAGTGATATGTGAGTTGATGAAGTGTAACACAAAGTTGAGGTTAGTCCTGATGTGGAGGGTTGTGAATAATCCCATTAAAGAGTAACATGGATGAGTGGGCAACCCCGCAGCAGACAACCTGTGCTTCCCCCTGCTGAAGCCCTGGATGGGATAGTTTATCGACTGTTGGAGTTTTTCTGAGGGGTAGTGGTGAGGGAGTGAAAGTATTTTTTACTGAGGACACAAAGATGAAAACGTGGTTATTCCAGATAAACCAGGAACCTAAACCATGTCCAAAACAAAACACAGAATGCCATGGAAACTCATGTCAGCTCTCTGTCATTCCCAGATGCTGTTCCGATCAGCTGTAGTTAAAATACTTACATGTTTTTAACCAAAGATTATCATAATTGAGGATTATGTAGCTCTGATAGTGAGGCTGTGCCGAAGTACTTAATATGTGTGTCACGTTACCAGAATGAGGAAGAGCAATAGATTAAGCATTGGCATTAGCCTGTGAAAAGCATGTATTGCACAAAGGGAAAAGAGAAGGAGCCCAGCTCCCTCTTCAGTGAGTGACACCCCGTGGTGTGATCCCTAAAGGAGAGAGTGCTTAGGAAGGGAAAAATGGAGCTACTGGTGACACTCATTGCACCAGGCTCTTAGGGAATCAAATAGATTAATATAATATCATAGTGGCTTAATGCTTTTGATTTATGGCATAAGAGTTTATGGGAGAGGTAAACAACCTCTGCTTTAAGAAAACACCACCAGGAAAAAAATTAGAGGCTTCCACTCCTCTCCAACATCAGGTGCTGGCTGCCTTTAGATTCAGGATGGAGCTGGGCTATCACAGTAGGACCAGCGGGCACATTTTTTCAAGTCAAATTTTCAAGTCAAAGGTCACCTCACTCACTTTTTCAGTAGTTGGCATGCTCTGAAAGTGAGACACATTAACGGCAAGTAAAGCACAGTTTGTCTTCAGAAACACATTGCTAAGCAAGAACAGGAGGGTTTGAGAAGGATATTCCAGCTGGAGAAGCACAGCTTCCCAGTGGACTGCTGAGGCATCTCTAGAGACTTGCATTGGAGGGAAGAGGGAGTTTTCTGCAAGAAGTAAGTAGAAAAGTATGTCCATGAAGGACCAAAGAGAGCATTTTGTAGTACTTCTAGTCTGATTGTTTTACCATTTGGCGGGGTATTTTGAATGTTATGGGATGTGGAAATGTATTTTCCCTTGCTGCTTTAAATATCTCTGACCAAAATTATCCCATTCTTGTTAAACTCATGGAAAGTGCTTCCCTGCACCTTTGCAAGAGGTGGGCAGACACAATAAATTATGAGAATTTCTGCTGTTTCCCAGCCTCCATGTTGAAGGAGCTTGGGAAGCAGCAGCGTGGTGAGGACAGAGAGAGAGAATTTCCTGCTGGTTACGATGTGTGGACACCTTCCTGTGACGAGCTGAGATGGTCTCAGCCTGTGTTGCTATGCTAAGCTTTAATTTGTGGCAGACGATCCTCAGGTTTTCTGAGTTTCCACAGGTGTTGCCAATCTTTTTTCCACCTTTCCAGAATATAGCTGCTGAAGGTGCCAGCTGAGAGCCAGTTTGCTCATCTCTGAGCCAGGAGAGAGTTTATGTCTGCTGAAGGATGCTCTCACAAGGAGGATCCCTGGGAAGGGATAAGGTAAGTTGAATTATGAAACCTGGGTCCTTTTCTGTCGGCTTGGAAGAGAGAACTGAGGTGTAGGTCTGGTGCTGAGCCTGGGGAAATGGGAAACCTTCTAAAGGGAAGCTGGGGAACCCCATGAAGTCACACACTGAGAGGGAGGACAGTGGGTCTCACCTGACAGCTGCTAGCATGGTGGCAAGGGCAGAGACCAGGGGTTTCTCCAGGAGGTAGAAGGGTGTCTGGGGTGATTGAGCTTATTTGTGAGATGTGTGTTAGGCAGTAACTTTTTCCACTGGGACCTCTTGAAGTCAAGCTCACCACTCGGGGCACATTCTGGGCATAAATTCTAGGATAGTAGTTCATGCATCTCATCTTCCCAAAGCACCTGGAGTGCAGATCTGAGGACTGCACGTGTGCCCTGCAGAGTGAAAACTGAAACCTGTGGAAAAGGTTAAAAACAACACATCATACAGTGCAGAGTGAGACAAGAACAGAACAAAAAAAAATAGGAGGAGAACAGATAGATAAAGAAAAATGCCTGGGGTTTGGTTAAAGCGTATGAATTATCACTGCAAAAAAGGCAGAATAGTTAGTTAACTTCCTCCTATCCTCACAAAAGTGGGTGTTTGAAAGGATATAGATCAAACTTCCATAGGAAAGTTTACCCATTTAGGCAAAGCATAGATCAGTTAATTGGAATTAAATGGAGCCAACACTGTCAGAAAGGGCCTCTGCTGGAATACACTTAGAGAGGGACGCCGATGACTGGAAAGGAGATCACCGTGAGTGAGCAGAGGTCTGGAAAAGATGATCTGTGAAGAAGACTGAAAAAATAGGGTTGTTTAGTCTACAAAAGTCTAAGAGATAGCAGGATTAATCCTTAGTTGTTTAAATGATTAACATTGGGAAAGGTAGCAATAGACTGTTTTTCTTATCCGTTCACAGAAGGACATGAAAAAAATTAAATTAATTAGAAACATGGAAGATTAAGATTTTTATATTACTGCAAGCTTTTTAAGAACAAGCCTAGCCTGGGGATGGAGACATTGCCAGAGGAGAGGTAGAAACATCCTCGATGGTAACTTAAGAGACCAAGACAAAGTTCTGAAGGAGCTTTCCTTATTGGACCTCAGAGCAAGGAGATGGTCTTGATGACTTCCTTCCTTGCTGCATTTTTTTTGGCATTTGTGACATCTGTAGCACCAGTTTAGCTCCATTCTTTTTGAAGCTTGCTGCTCCTGATTGTGACACATGCAAGCCAGGAGCTATTCAATTCAATGGAGTTACTTAATCATCACACACATTAAAATGATTTGACCAAAGCGAGTGAAAAGCAAGAATTGCCACTTGCACCGAATAATAGCTATTTGTCAGCTTTAATAGCTGCTGTATAATTCATGGAGATAAAAGCCTACAAAAACTGTCACTTCTTTTCATTTTTAGAGTTTTAAATATGTCCCGATATGGAGTTGCTGAGTGTGCGTGTGATGGAGGCTGTGGTCTGCAACAGACACTGTTTTCCTCCCTTGGAAGTGACAAGGGGGAAGGGGTGACCCGAGCCACCACAAATCCCTTTACTTGAGCAATCTGCTTTACAGCATCTGCGTGCTGAGACAACAAAAATGTAGTGGCTGGGTGAAGGAAAAGCAAACCAGGATTTTACTGGAGTTTATTTTGCTCTGTAATTTTTAGAAAAGGAGGTTTGTGGAAGTGACTGTTTCTGTTCCACCTGCAAGGCCTGATTTACCAGCCACGCTGGTCAAGTGCTGCCTTTTTAGCACGCTCTGATAGATATATCTTGTGTCTGTTGACCAAGGCTCTGCTGTCTGGATGTTCTCAGCCCCTGTACCTAATCTCTGTCTACCACATCTTTGAGCGTGCATGAGGTCAGCATGAGGGAGGATTGAAGCCAGTGTGGGATCTAGGAAGGAAATACTGCCCAGGATCTTACTTCCAGCGGTGTCTCTGCTTTCCCTGGCACACAAGGGGACAATCGCTGCCTGTGGGTCTTCTCAGGACTTGTTCCTGAAGTGGAAATACTTTCCCTGCAGCCACCAGTGAGACCTGGGCACCAAAGCCATCCCTGCCCCGGCAGGCTCTCGGGGAAGCCAAATAGTCCAGGATAATGCCCTGTTGCTCCTTACTGAAGAGTTACCGCACATAGAAATTACTTTATAAATTCTTTAGATCTAATAAAAGAACAGCAGTATCCAAGGGTACATAACAATGGATTAAAACACACTGGAACAAATGTTTTGCTTTGCTTTACTTTGCTTCCTGAAAGATACCAGTCTGTGTGAATCTGTGTGATATCTGTACTCTTACATATGTGTATATAAAAATACATTCAAATACTGAATAAATACTAAATGAGTATTAAATAAAATAAAGGAAAAAAAAAAAAAACAACAAAAAAAACCATAAACCAGAACAGAGGAGGGAGTATTCCAAGTAGCCCTGATAAAATTTATACCTGCCCTTCATATTATTCAATATTGCACAGCCTCTGGCTGTGCTCCCAAGAGCCTGTGCCTTGCCTGTTCAGGCAGGTTTGATGTCTGCATGGCTGCCACCCTCGGAGCAGCCTGCAAAGGACCCTTCTGTGCTTTTTGCAGGCTTTTCTGGCCACGTTGCAAGAATTTCCTATTTTTTCTGCTGCATCCCTGCTCAGAAGCTCGGAGGGGTCCCCTGACCCCACAGCTAGTTTTAGATCTCTGGTCTGCTAGCAGACCTGGCAGAGGAAGTGCTCTGCCATCTGGTAGCATGTCATACCTGGAGAGCCCTCTGCCTGGGTCTGGACTGAGGAGTTATTTTTTATACCGGTTCTGACGTTAGCCATGGGTACTCCTGGAGTATTTCCAAGTTTTATAAATGTCATTGTATCCTCTTCATGGGGTTGTGGTTTTTTTCTGTTGGTTTGGGGGATTTTTTTTTTTTTTTCCTATTTTGTTTCTGTGCTTATGTCACTCTGCTTCCCACCAGGTTGAAAATGGAGAACGCATCTTGGAGCACCCCGCACAAGGCTCCTGTTTCCAGACTTGCTGGCTCTGGCTGCCCTTGGAGCACTGTCACCCCATGGCAGTGAGCAGATGGGAACTCTCATTAAGCACTGTGCTGGGCCCACAGTGTCACTGGTGTCTCTACAGCAGAACGGCAAAATGCTACATTGGGTGAGTTGTAGACCAGTCCAGAGACTGAACTGGTAACAGATTTTTTTTTTTTTTCCCAGCTTCAGTGATGTAATTTGTGTCTATCTGTTTTTTTTAAAAGTAGTACATTTCAGTTTGGGTGGCAGACACTTTAATACCTATCCCATAGTATAAGTATTATAGTGCAGCTTTCACACCTGTGGGAATAAGAGTGATGGTCTGAGTTAGCAGGAGGTCAGCTTTTACGTCTGTTACAGTCTTCCTGAATGACCTTGAACAAGCCTTTTGATCTGTTTATGCCTCAGACGAGGTTTATGCTGGGTAGACAAGACGGGAAGGAAGCCCCCCCTCGCAGCCCTTGCTCTTGCACATTCAGATAAGATGCTGCCTTGTGCAGAGATCAGCTTCTGCTGTGTTTGGACATATGCTGGTCTGATCTCAGCAAGCTCTAGAAACAACTTACCGTAAGTAATGTCAAGAACACCACTAACACTCTATATACTTTGTGATACAGCTGCAGGAGGCAACATCTGCGTGTGTTTAGATAAGCTGTGAGCAGCAGTATTTGGTTTTTACACCAGCTGCTGTGATCCCAGTGCCGTTATCTGCTGGTTGGTGTGTGTGACGGTGGGTAGGGGTGTGCACCCCGCTCTGCGTGCATTGCCAGCTCTGTATTTAGTGTCTGCTCTTGGCACTGGCATCTCTTTTCATTTATGAATGAGTGGGTGAGGAGGGAGAGGGCTGGGCTGGGCTGACTCCTTCGCAGTTGAACCAGAAAGAGCACAGGAGCTGAAACACAATCTCCTCCTCCTCCTCCTTCCCTGCGCCGTTCCACCGACAGCCTTGCTCACAGCTGGGAGGAGGACAGCATCGCCAGCAGCCTGAGCAGGGGCTGGGAGAAGGGAAGTTTTGTGCTCTTCACCCTGCATAAACTCTGCTCACAGGTGAGTTTCTTTTTTATCTATTCATTCTTAAGAGCAGGTTAATTTTCCATCATTGAGACAGCTTACACAAGGTGATGATCCCTGGAAAGGTGGCAGGACAGTTTGTTGGCTCGGTTGTTAAAGCAAAACAACGAGGCAGTCCAAGGACTCGACCAAAACGATGCATCCAAAAAAAATTCACAACTTCCAAATTAATTTCCTTGGCAAGTTCCCCACTAGTGGGAATTTTGAATAAAAGTTCTTCCAAAAAAAAGTCCACTTAGGCATGAGGAGAGCTGAATGTTGAAGTTGTGTTGATGAAAGGGAATTGTTAAGATAAACTAAGCAAAGTGTTTCACGTTTGCAGTGGGGAACCAGAGCAATAGCCAGTAAATAAATTCCAGTAGTTGTTTTCAGAGAACTTAATAGAACTGTATAAGTTGACTAGATAATAAGCTATTTTGAATGACTGAGAAGCAATTTAAATATTTCATTTTGCCTGACAACACAAGCCAAAAGTTACACCTAATATGAAACTGCTAAATCACATACCTTGGTGTGTGGGTGCTCTGTGCTCACCTGTATAGATTTGCCTTTGTATCTCAAAAGTATGCCATTAGTGTATTTTCCAAAAAGTAATCCGCTTTTCTTGCTGCTGTTCAGAACCCGACTTGGGAAACTTGAAATGTGAAGGTTTGTTTAATGCAATGAAATCCATTCAGTCAGAAATGAATCTATTCTTTTTTTTGTTGTTGTTTAATAGGATTAAAAAGCTTTGTTCATTAATGTAGGTTGCCTGTGTTGTAAGTACATTTCTCTGCTTCTTGACATTCCTTGTAAAGAAACAAGAAAAGTACATCACTGAGCGATCAGCTTCGTGTGTGCGTGGGGAGGGGAACTGAGAAATAGAGAATTTAGAAGAATGTAAAGCCTTGTCCTGTCCTTTCCTCTTCAGAAGACATACAGATATTTATTAATAAAACTTTAAGGAAATTAACAGTAAGGCAAGGAAAAATGGCTACATGCGGGCTCATAAGACAGGACTCTGTCACTGTGAGCATTTCGGGACTTTCTGAGCAGTCTGTTAATCAGCTCCCTCCGTGACTTTTTCCACATTAGCACCCCGTGTTGACACTGTCCTCAGAGGGGAACGGCGTCTGACCACTTCTTCTTTCAACATGCTTTAATCAAGAAGCCACTAGAAGTGAGTCAATCTATGTGTTTAACGCCCACTCTTCCATTCCTGTTCTGGGGAAATAAAGTATTTTACTGCTCTCGCCCCTTTCCTTCCTGCTTCCCCATCTTATTGCCCCCGTATCATGCCCCTTCTACACATGCAATTGTAAGGTCTTTCTGTTACATGAGGGAAGAGGTAGAAGGGAGCTGTTTCCAGCTCATTTTACACTTGCTGCTCTACAGCTGTTATTTAGATTATAACATAGAAGGCACATACCCAAAATTTTCAGAGTCTTTCCAGGGTCAGGGGAATACATAGTGAAAATATGTTGGGTTTATAGGATCAGACTAGTGTGTTGTTTTGGGACAGCGGGGCACAGCCCAGAGCGTGACAATGTCTACACCACAGCACGATCACAGTTTTAAATGAAGGAAGATGTGGCAGTTCAATGAAAAACCCTTATCTCACTTGACATCTGAAGTGAGATGTATTTATGTCAATTTGTGGCTGATGGACAAAAATTGACTCCCTTTGCTCTGGGACCTGAGAAGTGTGGGCAATCACAGACAGCAGAGAAAAAATTGATGGGAGGTGTGGGAAAAGGGAAGAGCACAGTTGCTCAGGGCCAGGTGTACAAAGGTGTGAGCTTTAATGTGAGTTTTCCTCCCCTAACCAGCCCTGTGGATGCTGTCACTCAGATTAACCAGTTGATGCTGTAACCACCAAGTTTCTTTGCATCCCATTGAACAGGGCACAGCAAGACCATTTTTTCTCTGCCAGTTTTTCTAGGCCTGATCTGAGGGTGCATTTGTGTTGCCCTGGGGCTTCATTCCTGCTGACTATTCCGGTGTCAGTGTGGTGATAATCAAAGAAAAAGTTATTTTGGACTCATGAGGACTTTTACATAACTTGCTAATTATTTTTAAGTGAAGAACTGTGGAAAGAGAAGTCCGGACGTGGCAGCCTTGTGAGGCTCATTACCTTATAATTAGCTAAATGTCTCCTCTAAGAGGTTTGTTTTTCCTATAAAGCTTATTCTGAGTGGCTTTTAATGCTTGTTATGAATTATTCTGCCAGCTCAAGCATTTGCAGAGCTGCTGTCCCTGACAGCTGGTGGCAATTGGTTTTGAAAAGTCACAGAACAGCTTTAATGTTTAGCAGAAACTGGCCAAAAACTTTATGTAATCAGCAGCAGCTAAGAACAACATGGAAGTTTATTCTCTGAGGGATGCATCCACTGTAATTCGTTTTTCTCCACTAAAAACCATGTTTTGAACTCTGTTCATCTACCAAATAGCAAAAGGAGTTTTTAAGCACTTCACCCAAAAGCTGTAGTTAATCTGTCTGAAAAAGAAAAAAGAAAAAAAGACTAAATAATAGGTTTAAAACACTGTTAGAGGGAGATTGGGAAATGGGCTCACCTCAAAGCATGTTCTGTTCCTCTCCATGGAGCCTTCTCGCCAGAAATTTTTTCTGTGGCACCAAATTTCTTTCCAGCTGTGTTGTCATGGTGTTTGATGTGGGGTTGCTTGGGCTCAGATCTGTCACAATGCCAGGGGACAACAGAAACGCAAACCTGATCTGGTCTGCTGGTAACGGAGAGGGCACTCTGCTGCTGTTCCTGTCACTCCACGAGAGGTGTCCACCTGACATTCTCCACTCAAAAATTGCTACGGACAGCGATTGCTGTTAGTCTTTCATTTCTGAACATCACTGCTTTCGAGCTTCCTATCCCTTACAGTGTTTGCTATGGGGCGACATAGAGCTTTGAAGAGAGGTTAGATGGCTAAAGGAGGAAGGGGGGATAAAAAAGTGAAAGTATTACAAAAGCAAATCCAAGCAAACTATATCAAACTTCAGTCACTTTAATGACACCTGAATAAAATGCTAAAATGAGCAACATCAGTAGGGAAGAATGCAAATATTACTACAGAGATTTCTTGGTTTGGCTTTCTCATAGCTCAATGTTTTAGTAACAATTAGAATTTGATGATTTTATATCTAGAAACATGTTATCTTCCATCTGCCAAAGGAATAAGGAAAATTTTTACTCTGGGATGGATACTGATTTAGTATCTATGCACATACCTAATTAGAGGGGTGTTTTTATTTCTGTAAGATCATGGTTCTTCAACTATTTTTTTCAATTTTTGTGTTGAACATCTTTTATCCAGATTAATACCATTCGTGTGGGCAGATTGTTCCTCCCAGGTTTTTTTTTAAAGAAGACTGGAGAAGCTTCAGTTAATTTTCAAGCATATGGATTGGCTGAGTTTGTGCCTCCGGGCAGGGTGCTGGGATTTATACCCCAGCAAAGAGAGAGATGGCAAATCTGGCGGGGCTCCGGCACAGGGGGAGCAGGCAGTCGGTGCTCACGCGGATGCCCGTGCCATCCAAAGGTGGGATGCAGAGGTGCCGGAAAGAAGATTTAGGCTCTTAGGCAGGACACTGAAGCACAGGAATTCGGCAGCACTGCACCGAGGGAGGCTTCTTCTAGCACATGCAAGGCCAGAGGGAGGTACAGAGAGAGGCAGTTTCAAGGTGTGACACAGAAAGCGGAGGAATGAACACAGGCTCGTATACATTGGGAAAAGAGGGCACTCAGGAGTAAGGGAAGGCCAGACTGTTTAAATCTTAATGAAAGCAAGGCACTAGCACTTAAAACCATGTGAGCATTAAAATAATTTTTTTAAATTAAAATTAAGAGAATTGAGGAAATGAAAATCCAGGAAATGAAAACATAAGCAAGCCTGCAGATACAAATGCCAGTGCTTTGTTTTGAATGATTTATCCACCGGGGACTAGGTTGTCGGAGCTCTGTATCCTCAAGTAAAAATAAAAAGGGCCAAACTTTTCAATAGTCATCTAGGGAGCGAGAGCAACAATGAGGGAAAGCAAAGAGAGGAAAACCTTCTGCAAGGCGTGCTGCTTCTACACAATTGTGAGAAGTCTGAGAAATAACATCGGAGAACACACCTTACATGTGAATATTGCCTGAGAGCTACAGGAAACTTGGTTAATCTCCAAAAGGGAAACTGCAAAAAAGGAGGAAGTTGAATCAAACGTAGCAAAAAGGGATAGCTTAGAAGAGTTAAATCTCTACAGGCTAGATGGGGACTATTTGACGACATGCACAAATGCAGGTGCACACACAACCCTCCACTGCTGGATCCAAAGAAGAAATACAGAAATCCAGATCAGAGACAAAAAAGACACAACCGAGCGTGGAAGGAAATGAATTCAGCTAAAGAGTGGTGCGTGGAAGGGCGGATGGTGTGCTAGACTAGAAAGAATTGCATCTAGGACAGAAACATGTTTGAAACACACAGTGGGGATCGGTGTAAGCCAGAAACACAAACACAGTACAAAGGCAGAACAGAATTATTCCAGTTTTAAATGGTGACAGTGCATGCCATGTTCGGTGCTTCAGTTGGACAGGCTCCTGTCCTATGACAAATTTTGTCTCTTTGTTGAGAATAAATCCAAACAGAAGAACAAGAATAAAGTCAAAGAAAAATGAGGGAAGGAAGGGATAAATCTCCAAATATTGTAAACAGCTTTTCCTTTATCATGTCTTAAAACTTTTGCTATACAAAATGAATCCTATACTGAATCAAGCAGAAACTAGCATTTAAAAGAGAGATGAATTTATTGAATGTATCATTATTTGCTGATGTGTGGAATAATGAAAATATTACCATTTTCCTTGAGATGTGCTCAATCTCTTCAAACACCGCAGAGTTTCAACCACGTTTTGGTTAGACCTAGCAAGTAAATTTTTTCTCTTAGACTGCCTTTGCTATTTGTCAAATGTTATTAGCCAAACATTGATTATTGATGTCCC